CGGAAGGCGGCCCAAGGGTGGCTTGGGGGCGGGGTGGGGGGGGGGGTCAGGAAGGAGCAGGGGTGGGGTGACAAGGCAGCCCAGGAAACTTCGGGGGTGACGATGCATTCACTGTCTTGAATGAGCTGATATTTTCATGGGTGTGTACATATATCAAGATTTGGCAAATTGTACACTTTAAATATACGCAATTTATTAGATGTCAGTGATACCTCAACAAAGCTGTTTTAAAAAAATTTTTTTAAGTGAGAGCTTGTAGAAAAAAAACCCTGCATGTTGTTTTAAACATATTACCCCAAACTTGCCAATGAAATGACAAAATTCTAGGATTGCTTCAAGGTTATTAAGAAAAAATAAGGGGAGGAAACAGGGTCACCGCCTAGAAGGATGGTTGGGCCCTCCCTGGGACTTCCCCCCACTCCCCCCCACCCCACTTCACAAGGCTATGAATCCAAAACACACACGCCACACAGTGGTTTGCCACGAGCCAGTAGAAAGTGTCAATTCGACTGTCCCAGACCCATAATCTATCACCCATGTCCATGTGCTTCCTTGTATCTGCTCGCCCTGCTCTGCCAGTGCCACGTGTATCAGCAGTTAGTTGAAAAGAAAGGACATATTTAGCAAATGTGTTACCTTTCTCTCCTTTGGCCCCTGGAAACCCTGGGAATCCTCTTCCGGGTAGACCTACGAGATAAAGGTAAGAAGTCCCGTTTATCTCTCCTAAAACAGCCGAGCTGCAGGAACAGCACAAAGCAATATCCACTCTTTGCACCGATACCATATACTATTTGCGAAACATAGAGAAATTAGTCCGTTGCCCTTTGCAAGTAAAATTATATTACTACAGTTGTTCTAAGATACCCTTGACTGGATATATATATAATTTAGTACATTTTCCCAAGTACCTTTGAGCCCAGAACCATTACAGCATTTAGGAGAAACGATCTGTACAGATGGATACTTATTTCCCATTACTGTCTGGAGACTCACCAATTGGCTTTTTTCAGATGACTATCCAACTAACCGCTATTCACAAAGGCAGTGCACAGAGCCAGTGATATTTGGGGCAGCAGACACCAGGGAGTCCACAAATGTGAGTAAAGCGTGTAAGGGAAGATTCGAAGGGGGCAAGTAGGTGTGGAGGCATTTCTTACGGATTATTTTTATAGGAAAATGAATGTACATAATATAAACATAAGGCTCATAGAATGAAAGAAATGAACTTTAGAAAGAGACCAACACTAACAGCCATGGATCCCCCTCCGTGCTCCTGCCCAGCACTATTTCCCTCCCCCCATCCCCGTGACTGAGGGCAACCTGCTTCAAACTGTTTGTGTGTCACCCTCTTGCTATATACGAATATTATTACATACGTGATTGTCATCATCGGAGCTCACAGCTCACACTTTTGCCCAAGTTTCCATTCCCCCATCAGTAACAGGAGCAGATTCTGGGGACTGAGAATATTCCCAGGACCGTTCCTCTAAAGGGGGAAAGGCCAGGCAGAGAAGGCAGTGGTCTGGGCTTTCTACGGTGTCTCCTTCACTCACCACTGAGAGCTCAGGCCATTTTAAGGGTAGATGCCCATAAGCATTTGTGGAATAAATGAACATCCTCTTTCCCCTTTTCTCATCCAATCCTGCCCCACTTGCCCACATCGTTGCTTAAATAGCTTTAAGGATGTAACTTATGCCCAGCTTACACCCAGCTCCAGTCACTTAGCATGGAATATAAGTCTCTGGGAGACGTTTACTCCAGAGCAGAGTCTCATTCTGCTGAAAGGGATATGGGAGCCCAACATACCTGGTTCACCCTTCTCTCCTGCCGACCCTGGGAATCCATCACTGCCGGGCTCCCCTTTCTGGCCTGCCGGGCCCGTGAGACCAGGCTTCCCAGGAAGACCTCAAAGAGAAAGGTCAGATCGGTCAGGCATGGAACCTATCACGGCACCGTGATCTGCATGTAAAATGCACCAATCCTGACATTTTTCCAGGGAGCTGTACCTCCCACCCCCTAGCATGCCCAGCTCCCCGAGGTTACTTCTGACACCCCTTCAGAAGGGACCCTCATGCGGCAGCAACACCACTGCACAGTGACCCCCTAAAGCTGGTGAGAGTGGAGAGAAAGGACATCCATCTACCATGCCGAACAGGAAAAGTTTCTAGACCCAACTGGAACTAGCTGTAAAACCAGTTCTAGGTGTAACTGGTGGAAAAAGACCCTAGAAGTCCCCGTAGACTCAGTTTGCTCATCTGGAAAATGGACGTGAGCCCAGCTGGTCATCCAGAGGTCACCCAGCCTTGATGCCCTTTGGCCTCTTCTCCACAGGCCCCCATCTGTGTCCTAAAAAGTGGTCTCTACCTGCTTCTCCTTTGATGCCAGGGATGCCATCCAATCCCGGGAGGCCTTTGTCACCTTTTTCTCCAGGCAACCCAGGGCTTCCTAGAGAAAAACCAAAACACCAGAATTCCCATGACTTTGAGTTTCTCTTTGCCATCCTTGAACCCCGAGCTCAGGAGGAGGCCAGCTCACTTACCTGGATAGCCAACATTCCCTGGTGAGCCTTTGGGGCCCGGAGACCCGGGCATCCCTGGGATCCCACTGCTTCCTTTCTCTCCCTTCTCTCCAGGGCTTCCTGGAAAACCTGCTACCCCTTGGTCTCCCTGTGGGTGAAAATTGGGCCCATTAATGTCATATCTGTCCTTGGACATGTGTCTGGAGGTGCTTTCTGTATACATGGGAGTGCAATGACTATTGCATGGCAGAATTCCACTTCCAGCTTTCTAAGGGGAGAATCAAAGCCCTCTGAAAATGGAGGCAAAACTAAAAACCCAGAGCAAAAGAGCAGTTGCCTGTTCTGCTTCTCGTGTTCCTTCTCCATTTCTCCCCATGATAACTTGCTACCCAAGCTCTCAGCACGTCTCAGATCCTCCTTGGGGACACAGGCCATGAATAGAAGGGGGAGGCAGGGAGACTTAAAATCAACTGGAGAAACCGTTCTGTGTTATGATTCGTCTACTGTGTGGAGATGCTCCAAAGCCTTTCTGCGGGGATGGGCGGGAGGGGCTTCCGCGGGGATGCTGTTACCTTTTCCCCGGGCCGTCCTGGAATCCCAATGCCAGGCAGACCCGCCTGCCCTTTCTCTCCTTTTGCTCCCTTTTCTCCAGGTGAGCCAGGGATGCCCTGCAGGCCAGGGAGGCCAGGCACACCTTTTTCTCCAGGTATTCCTAGAAACACACACAATTGAAACAGAACGTGTGCTTAGCAGGTGCTAACGTTGAAAATAGGAAAGCGCCTCAACTACCAGCCAAGAATGAGACGGAAGAACACGTATCCCCTCATTTCTCAAGTTGTAAGTGATCCAGGCAGGCGCCAGCCACCCAGACCACATTAGAACCACGCCAGGAAACGTTCCTCCTGTCTTTGAAAGACAATCACGTTACAAAGGGAGAAAAAATACATTAACCGCTTAGCATGCTTCCTTTCCCAACAGCATTAAACATGGCTTCTATGTCTTTCGTTCCGTAGTCAAATCTCATTATCCGAATGAATCAGAGGGGGCGAGAGGCAGGCCATGGAGAGTAAAAGCGTACCTGCTTCCAGGATGGATGTGGGCAGTCAAACTAATTTATAAATAGGTGCCAGGGGAAGCTGGCTTATGCCCGTCCCTGTAACTGACCCTCTGCGGCTGCTGGCTTGGCTGTTAGGGGCAGCTGTGAGTCTGTTGGTGATGCTATTGTAAGGAGAACTTGGATATTAAATTGCAGCCAAGGCCTGGGAGATTACGGCAACAAAGGGAACCCTGGTTGTTTTATTGCAACCAGCATCTGCCTGGCGGACTGAATGACAGGCCCAAGAGATTGGCTGCAAAAAGAATTTAAGAAGCCTTACTGCAGTCGCTGGGTGTTTATAGTTCAAGCAAAGTGACAGCGCGCCTCACAAAGCCTTGGGAGGAGTGAGGGAGACAGGCTGGCTTCCCTGACTTCCTGCTCCAGGCAAGTTCTAAGAAGCAGTAGCACCTGGACCATCGGGCCTGAGCCTTCCCTCTGCTGCCTCTGCTCTGGTCGCTGTCACCACCGCAAACGCTGATGGTAAAGCCTGGGAGGCCAGCTCGGGACCAGGGCAGAGAAGCCCAGGGGATTCTTCTGCGCTAACGTCAAAGGGCTTTACAGGCATGAGCTGCTTGTGCTGACACAACTGAATGGAGAATTAATCACCTCCTCGACGGATCCAAGTAGACGGATCACTTGGAGGTAACTGAAAGTTCATAGTACACAGCCCGTGTTTTATTTTATTAAACTGTGATGGGTTTTGTTTGTTTGCTTGTTTAAGCAATGGCCAGAAGGTCAACCAAACGCCACCATCCCTAGGCAAGAGACCACACAGAATTGAAGATGTGAGTCTGTGTCAGACACGTCTCCCTGGATTACGTCCTCCGTGAAGCAGGTCTCACCCGCAGACTCGTCCCACAAGCACCACATGTGCAAGCACTGGAAAGGAAACTCCTTTCCTAAACCCCACATACCTGGCAGGCCCATTCCACCAACCGATCCTTTGGGTCCAGGAAGTCCCGGAGCACCTGGGGTCCCACTTATGCCCGGATCACCTTTAGGTCCTAGAATCATAAAGAGAAAAACCCAACAGGTCAACGCCCATGAAAACTGCCAGGTAACCTCTCCCCACACAAGCCCCTGCCGAGCTGGCGACCTTGAACTCCCTTCCATACCTGGCTGCCCAGGTTGTCCTGCCTGACCGTCCTTTCCAGGCACTCCTGGGGTTCCAGGATCTCCCCGGGATCCTTTATCACCAGTTGGGCCGATTTGTCCTGCACGACACACACACAAAAATAGTGACGACCACGTCTGCTTAAAATAAGACAAACTAGAAACACAGGTTGGTCTGACATCACGTGTGAAGAACTGAATAACTCGTTAGACACCTTCTCCCCCCTCCAAAGGTAAACTGTCCTCCGCGTTACCTTTTTCTCCTTGGTCTCCCTTCTGGCCCTTCATGCTGCCCATGTCCACTTTATCCATGGAGCCCGGCTTGCCAGGAAGACCCACATCTCCTTTATCACCCTTGAAGCCAGGGTCTCCCCTGGGTCCCGAGCTGCCCGGGAAGCCGTGGTCCCCTGTAGAAAGAAGAGGAGGCACCGAGTGACACGTGGCCAAGGGCCCCCAAGGCAGTGACAAGTGTGCTGTTCTTTCTGGCCAGTAGAAGCAACTGATAAACAACCTATAAAGAACTAACAGTCTGTCCAAAAGTGGCGTTAAATGGCGAGTGTCCGAGTTACCCAGAAGAATGTGACAGCAGGGAAATGAACAAAAAAGCCATTTTCTAGAATTCATTATTTGCTAATAATTCCAACATAGGAGACTTCACTTATTAGTTTAAATAATTTATAGTTTCTCTCCTTCTCAAATACCTTCACGACATCTGCTCAGCGGCCCCTCAGTTCTATACGGAAGAACAGAATTTTCCTGTTCAACTAAACAAATGACCATTTTTATGTCTCACGTTTAAAGTCAATTTCTTTTTTAAAAACAGTATTTGAAACAATTTCAAACATCAAGATAAGAAATAAAAAGTAAGACTTGTAAACTTCCCCTGTTTGCTAATTTGATTCCAAAGACTCAGTTGCTGTGACTGAATCTTCGAATGACTAAAAATACCAGCATTTCTCAAAACAAAACAAAAAAAACAAAAACTCTACCATGCCAACAAGGAAACCCGGAAACCTGTCTTCTCTCTGACTTTTCGGCAGGGCACAGCCCTTCATCCCCGTGACCCCGGAGCGCCTCCTGGAAGAGGGGGTCTTGCAGACCCTATAGCTTGATCTTCCTTCCCAGACCTCTTGAAATGAACAATGATCTACGACTCTTGGAGGATTTCCCACAAGGCATCGGGACACAGACATGAGATGGGCTTTTCCGGAGTCACGGCTGCCTACCTTTTTCACCCGGCAATCCTGGCACACCCGCTGGTCCTGGCGAGCCGGGCTGCCCGGGGGTCCCCATGACGCCCATCTCTCCCTTGGGACCTGTGGCCGGATGGAAGGACCGTGAGCGCTGATGGCAGATGCCGAGCGAGGGTCATGAACAAGACCGGGTGAGGTGTCTCCCCAGCATCCACTTGGGTGGAGTTCACAGGTCATTTACCTGGGAACCCGGGCTGTCCAGGTGTGCCCTGCTGTCCAGGGAGACCAGGCAGCCCCGACTGTCCCGTCAGGCCGGGGAGCCCCTGAGGCCCTTTGTCTCCTTTGGGGCCCGGCATGTCCAGGCCTGGGAATCCGGGGAAGCCCTTCTCTCCTTTCACTCCAGGGGGGCCTGAGGTGGGGAAGAGAAAGGGGGCGTCAGCAGGATTGACAGGGTGTCCTGCAACGTCCTGTACCCTGTTTAACTGTTACTTTCTGCAGAAGGTGTGTAGCCGTGCCCACATCCGGGGTAGAGGGGAACGGCTTCCACCTTCTCAGATAGTGGTGTTTGGGGCCATCGGTGGGCAAACAACATCCCAAGACAAAGCCCCGCCTACCTGCCGTAAGCTGTCAGCAATTCCCACCCGGGCCCCTCCGCAGTGTTCAGACCTAAGCCCAGTTTCTCCACGGTGTCTCTCCCTGACTGTCCTGCCCCGGTCCACCCTCTCTGTCTCACTTCTAGAATGATTATTAAAGGCAAAGGTAGCTTCCAGACATGAACTCATTTTGTTTAAGTTACCTACAACTTACTAAACCTCTTATGGAAAGGTAAGATAGAGAGATACCGAGATACCGATCCTTCTAAATTAAATGTAAAAGGTAAAGAATATACAATATAAAGGGGCGGTGTCTTTGGCACATAAACCAAGCTCAGAGGGAGGTGAAGAAAGGCGCCTGTGACCTTACGTGTAAGCAAACAACCAAACCTACAGCCACAGAATAGAACTGACTTTTCCCCCTTTTAGTCACACATTATGAGTTAGGGGAGGGAACATTCTGGAAGAACGTAGTATCACCTGATGACCCTGGGGGTCCCTGTCCTCCAGGGGGTCCCATAGCTCCAGGAGGGCCTATTCCGGGGACTCCGGAAGCTCCTTTGGGACCTTGCAATCCAGGAGGTCCCGGGTCACCTGGATGGGGAAGAAATCGTGAATGCACCACATGGGGACACAGCGGTGTCAGCGCCTACCACCCACTCACGCCGCTCGCCCGGAACCCGTCTAGAATTTTCATCATTCATTCAGCAAACGTTTACTGGGCCCTGATAGGTGCCCTGCGGACACACAATAAACAGACCCTGTCCCTACCACAAGCTGGATTTGCCCGTAAGAAGTTACCTCTGATTCCCTGAAGGCCTGCAGGGCCGATGGCGCCGTGCTCTCCAGGAACGCCTGGTCCCCCGACGTTTCCCTTCTCTCCAGGGGTGCCGGGGATGCCAGGGAGTCCTGGCAGACCTTTGAGTCCCGGCAGACCAACTCCAGGCTCGCCCTGGAAACCCCGAAGCACGGAGAAGCCAGTGACCCTCAGAGCCCGCGATTTTATCAGGCCAAGGGCGTACGTGTTAACGGATGCTGCCGGCGCGTTTGTAAGAACAGCACTTGTCCCACCTTCCAGCTGGCAAACCGTCTTCACACCTATTGTCGCCTTTCAATCTCTCCACAAGCCGAAAGGCAGGCAATTTCTATTACTTTCCTTTCACAAAGGAGGAAAGCCAAGGCTCCCCCGTTTGGACGGCTTGTCCACAGTCAGAGAGGCAGGAGCTCTTTCCGCTGGGTCTCAGCCCCTCGACTCTGCTGCCCTGAGTCTACACAGCGGGAACAACACCCAGTGTGCTGTGTGGCCAGCGAATGGGTATTAAGAGGTGGAAAGTTCCAGGACTGGAACAGAACTCCATTTACTTCGGGTTTTTTTGATGAAATGAAAGCTCTCATGCCAAATTAAACGTTTAAAACCTTTTCATGAATCAGAGGGCTTTGACACACACAGATGATTAAAAATAAAGGCAGTATCTTGAGGGCCTGAAGGAAGGAGCACACCCCAAGTTAAGCACCGACGGGCCGTGTGAAGCAGAACGTGCACATTATGTCATGGCGCGCCCCCCGCCGGCATCCCTGAAGGCAACAACTTCCAGATGACGACCAGGTGGAGGTAAGCGGGCAGAGGTGTCTTATGCACATGGCCCTGCGGTGAAATTTGCAAACTGGAGGGAACTCAGTCCAAGGGATTTTGAAAAAGCTCAGTATTTTAAATCGTAAACCAAATCCTTAATTCCAGTTCCATTCGGCATCTACTAGCTTGTGAGCCAGTGTTTGAGGAGATCTACATACTGCGGTCACTGACTCACTTTCACACCCAGTGCGGGTCATCAGGGAAAGGCGGGGGTGTGTCACATAAAGAAGGTGTCCTTGGGCTTCCCTGGTGGCGCAGTGGTTGAGAGTCCGCCTCTGATGCAGGGGACACGGGTTCGTGCCCCAGTCCGGGAAGATCCCACATACCACGGAGCAGCTGGGCC